ACAGCACAATTAACGATATATAACAGCAACACTAAGAAGTCACAGAGCACATATAACGGTACCTGTATTACAGTACTTTCCAACGATAAACAAGTAACAAGAAGCAGAAAACGTGTAAACGTACAATTATAGCGATAAGTTTACCCTGAAACCCTAACCCCGCACCTGAAAATCTTACCTGCACCTGAAAGCATGTTGTCGAATGGCCTTTTGTAGGCTTTGGGCCATTAGTTCACCTACTTTCGGGGGTTTAGGTACACTTTAAACCTAGAGACTAAACCGAAGCCCAAGGTTTGGAACGTGAATGCCTGGCATTGGGAGGAGAAGCCCATGACTGAGTGGAGCCATGCCCCCAGCTGCAAAGGAAGATCTTGTTGGGTTCTAGGGCTCAGGGTGATTGAGGGTTAAGTTACGTAAACCCTAAACCCTCTAGGGCTCAGGGTGACTGAGGGTGAAGGGGGTTCGGGCTTAGGGTGATTGAGGGTTATTTAGGACTAAGGTTCCAGGGTGTAGGTTTAGCATGTAGGGTGAGCGTGATAGGTGTTGATGACTTCGTGTGAAAAGTTGAGCTGTAGCCTTTTTCAGGATTCGGGGTCATGCGAGTCATGGGCTATAGCCTGAAATCCCCAAAGGCACAAAACCCAAAACCCCAAAACCTAAAGAGTAAGGTTCCAAGGGTCCAGGGTTTCGCCCTGTGTGGCACTGAGAGTGGACTCTACACCCTCAAACCTCCAACCCTCCCAACCCGAGCCCTAAACCTACTATAAAAGCCTAAATCATTGCCTACACTATCTTTTGGGGGAGGCCCTTATTATAAGAATAGAATAATATGCCCCAAAACCCTGGTTTAATTGTCACTAAGGCCCCTACATTACATCCCAACCTAAAGCCGCAAAACCCAAGCTAAACCTATGAGCCCCAACTCCGCAGGGCTCCAGTCACCTAAATCATAGGTTACTTGCCTTGTCTAATAACATGTCACCCAGTAACCACCTGTTACTTACGCAACTCGAGCCCTAGGCCGATCCCTAAACCCTAAGCCCTAAACCCTATATATCCTAAACCTTAAACCTTAAACCCCAAACCCTAAACCCGAAACCCTACAAACAAACTTCAAACTTTAAACCCCAAACCCCACTACAGCTGCGCCTTTCCGAGGTCGGAAATGGCTGGAACGAGAGCTCTGTGGCTTGTCTGGTCTACGCCTCCTGCAGGGCCCTCAAAACGGATTAATGATTTAGGGATTTAGAGCTTAGCCCTAAACCCTAAACCCTGAACCCTAATCAGGTTCAGAGTTTAAGGTTTATGGTTTAGGGTTTAGGTCGTTTAGATGATTCCCCAGCATTTGGGGCTCCGTGGCCTTGCGGGATTTAGAGGTGTCTGTTAGTTTGCATAGGTGCTCATAGCTCTGCCTTGTTTTATTGGGGTCCAGGGTTTAGTTTATATGAGTTCACAGGTTTTGTTGTTCGATGCTTCTAGTTTCGTGCAAGTGCCTATAATGCTATACCGAGCAGCAAGATCTATAACGGGAGTGCAGAGGGTTTCTACTGGCTTTACGTCGAGTTTCTATGGGAAGAGATGGTGTTTAGGTATGGGGTAAAAACGGTGGGCTTGTTTGGGGATTTCTTCACAATTGGGTTTAAACCGTGGTCGGGTTTAGATTTCAGATGGTCGGACTCCTAACAGCAAGGAACGGAGGACAGTGTCCCTAGCCTTTATAGTAGTAGTTTTTGGGAGGTACATGGATGTTGGGCTTAGAGTTTAGGGCTTGGGGCCTGAAGTGGGACCCCGAAGTGCTGCACAGCATGCATGTCCTTGAGCTTTGGAGGCGGCAGAGTTCCAGAGATCCTTTGTGGTTTATTCCCACGGAATTATCAGGGGTGCCGGGCAGGAGTTAGGAATTCAGGATTGAGCTTAAGCACCTCAGCGCACCATACAAATCGCTGTCACATATGGCTCTTGGCAGAGCTTCGTGCCACGCCAGCACAAACCCCTTAAACTGCCCTAAATCCTAAACCTCCTGAACCACAATCCCCCAAACCCCATAAACCCTAAACCCTAAACCTCTTGAGCCCTAAAACCCCCAACCTCCTAAACCCCGAGCCCAAAACCCTAAAACCCTAAACCCCTAAACCCTAAACCCTAAACCCCGAGCCCAAAACCCGGATCCCAAGCTTCACCCTAACCCCCCAGGTACCTACTATAAAGGGTACTAGAGCCCCTAGGGCCCTATATTATAGCGGGTACCTGGGGGGTAGGGTTCAGCTTCAAACACAGACTGGGAGCCGCCCCAACCAACAGAAGAGCAAAGCCATTCCTGCGGGGTCCATGTGCCAAAATCTTTGGGATTTAGGGTTTAGGGTTTGGGGTTTATGGCTTTAGGGGTTTAGGGTTTAGGGTTTAGTGTTTAGGGTTTTAGGGGTTCAGGGTTTAGGGTTTAGGGTTTTAGGGGTTCAGGGTTTAGGGGTTTAGGGTTGAGGAGATTGAGGGTTTAGGGGTTTAGGATTTTCCTACTTGCTTCGGCCTTAAAGTAGTCCCTAAAATGTATATTGGCTCCAAAGCTAAAGTTGTTTGGGTTCACGGACCCTTGGAGTGATTCGCAAAGGTCAGGGCTGGCTGAGGTTGAATTCCTCAATGCCCAGGCGAAGTGAGGGTCGATAAATTTGGGACTCCTTTCTGAGGGCTCTACATTGAGATCACGTCGTAGTTTGCTGAGATTCTGCGTAGACATGCGCTTCTGATTATAGTCGGGTTTACTGCTAAACCCTAGAGACCCGAAACCTTAAACCCTAAACCCCAAACCCTAAACCCCGAACCCCAATCCTAAATCCTAAACCCTAAACCCTAAACCCTAATCCTAAACCCTACAAGCCGTGCTGATGTCTAAGCTTACGGGGGCTCAGAGATGCATGTCCCAGCAGAGCACAATCACATGGCCACAGTCCGGTAATCTGGGGTGTGTCTCGGGTTTTATAGGGTTTCAAACAGGAGGCTGAAGGGTGAGACCAGCATGTTTGGGATTTATTCTACCATGGCCCTACTGCCGAGCTGTATGATATGTGATAGTCACGCTTAGGCTTCTAGCTTCGAAACCCTGAATTCCTAAACCCAGTCCAGTCCGTAGCACCTGCAGTTTTACAATGGTGTTCACGACCACATCTGGGTCAGACCTGGGGCAAGGGCAGGAGGCCACGTGACAGAAGCACATAGATTTACCATGACTTTTCCGCAAAGGCACTAGGTTTAGAGTTTAGGGTTAAGGGTTCAGGCTTTAGGGTTGGGGTTGGGGTTTGGGGGGTTCAGGGTTCATGGCGAAGCAAGCTTCCCCCAAGTCATCCTCTGCATGTTTTCTGCCTTTTGGGGGGACCATGCAAAAGCCTTTTTCCGGGGCTGGTCCCCCTAGGCCTGAGGCAGAGGAAAGTTTCAGAACAATAAGGAAGCCTCATTTCCCTATTTTATGCATCCCTCAACAAGGTACCCTGTCTCCAAGCACCGCATGATAACAGATATCTTGAGGCTTCACATCAAGTCTGCAGCTGTCAGATTGAGACGGAAGTTTTACGAGGTCTATGTTGGGGGTTTGGGCTTTGGAGATGTTTGGAGTTCGGGAGCCGATACCAGACCGACCACCTCGATGGTCTCAGGGCCTTAGAGAGGGTGTGCGTGTGCTTCTCTGTTTCCTCATAGGTTGCCCAGAGCCGTACGCCTCTCCTCGAAATCATAAACCCGCAGAGGTATCCGTAATGTAGAGAAACTCTTCGCAAATTTCACAGGTCACCGGAGATGCTTCCGTCTCCGTGCGCAAAGGCGTGTTACCGAGTCTTCTGTCGGCTGTTCACGGGTAGGCCGTCCACAAAGGGTTACGGACATTATACTTCACAGAGGAGTTTCCCTAAACCCTAAACCAAACACGGGGGGCCTTCTTAGAGAGCTGGCTTTGGAAGGGACCCCACTGCTTAGCAAGCGCCCTTCTTAGAGTCGGGCTGTATGGGTCTTCTTGACGGATCATGGAGGGGTCTACTTAAAGGACCATGGGACTTGGTAACTCGTGTTTTCAACAAGGTAGCAGACAAGTAACCCCGAAACCCTGAACCCCTAAACCCGAAAAAAACAACCCGAAACCCCCAACCCTAAACCCCTAAACCCTTTCACAATTCAATTCCAAGGGCCCCAAAACCCTTCGAAGGATCCTACGTACCTAAAAAGGTTGCAAGGGTTTCCATACTAGAAGTTTGGGTAACCCCGACAATAGGTACTTCGGACGGGACGCTGGGGGCCTAAACAATAAACGGTTTAAGGTTTAGGGCTTGGTTAGGCCGCTGTCCCGGCCGATGCCCTAAACCCGAAGAATGGAGGCAAGCCGATTGTGCTGTACCTCCTTCGAATCGAATGCCGGGGACCTTGGTTCATGCAGCCTCGGCTTGGTGTTCGAGGCACAGGGTTTAGGGTTTAGGGTGTAGGGTTTAGGGTGTAGGGTTTAGGGTTTAGGGTGTTGGGCACAGAAGCATGGGACGGCTGGAGGATGTGCTTTGGCTTTCAGGTTCAAGGGTTCGCAAAGGGCATGTGAGTTTCGTGGGGCGAGGCTGCCCGACCAAATGACACCCTCTTGCACGATCTGCATCATTCTTTGCACTTCTGGTTTAGGGTTTAGGCTTTACGTCTCCGAAGCCAAAGGTCGAAGCCATAGGTCATCGTGGGATTTGCCAAGACAAGAGGAGTTCCTGCACACATCGCAAGAGACTTCGGGCTCTTGACTTGTGGGTAGGGTTTAGGGTTTAGGGTTTAGGGTTTAGGGTTTAGGGTTGGGGGTCTTTAAACTAACTACTCGTATCCGCATATAATAGAAGTGCAAAGTATATACTAATATACACGTACAAACATTCCTAAGGAGTCCTACATCCATGCAGCAAGCCCCAATATCACCCTACTTCACATGAAATGGCTCCAGCTGGAAGCAGAAGCTTGCAGCAGGGGTTCGGAACCGTTTGCCTTGCGCGTCAATGGCTGTTGCCTCGCCTTTTTCATCAAACAAATGGAGTAACAGCATCCTCTGCATTTTTGCTCTGAAAGAGCTGGTCGTCGGAATCATCCATGGGTTCAAAGCGGATGGCGGAGTTGAGAGTATTGCTGGATACCCTCTTTCGACATCTGGGTGCGCGGATGAAATGCTCTTCGCCATCAACTTCCTGTCGGAGAAAAACGTGCTGGTGTTTATGTTTGTGCTTGTGATTTCCCTCCGCGCCTCGGACTTGACCCAGTATACTATCGCTGTGCTCACCGGAAATCACATTCATCAAAGGTTGATGCTGGCATATCGTCCGGGTCTGATCGACCGCTTGCTCCCGAATGCTCCTGGCAGACACAACATCTGGGCGGTCCCATTGATACTTATAGTGGCCTTACTAGTGTACCTCTACGAGCGCAAACCAAAGTCTTCAGAGTCAGCTCTTCAGGAGAGCTTCTTGAAGCAAAAGAGATCCATGTGAACATGCTTGCGAGAGCACTTCCTCCAACATCGCGACATGCTGCCTCAGCAGGGTAACTGGAATCGCTGCCATCCGAGCTGAATCAGCAAAATGCTTTGGCAAATCACCTCTAAATTAAACCCGAAACGATTTTGCGGGGTCGGAATAGTTACCAACGGTATTGTCTTGTCGTCATACAAGAATATATCCCAACCAGGTATTAAGTCCCCTACTTTTTGCCTTCTAAACTCGAAGCCCATGGTGGGATTTAAGCAGCAGGGAGACTTGACTAAACCCGCCAGGGATCAGTGTAATCGGTGTATTCGAAACCTCAAAGCGATGAAGGGTGGGTTATGGGCGAGCGTGAGCAACCACTAGAAGAGGCGCAGGCCTCAGAGATCGAAGAAAGAAGCTTGAAAACCTTCATAGAATAATGTTATGTAGTTAGGGTTCTTGCTATATCTTTCGCATAATGCAAGCTGTTCTTGTCATTAAAGCCACTATGTATGCTTGAACGACACCTTGGAAGTCCGTGAAACCCCACCTTACAGGCCACGCTGCAGCCCAAAACCAAATCTCTATCCACAAAGGCACCCAACCCATGGAACAAAGCGGTTTCGAAGCCACAACATGGAATCGACAGCAAAACCTGAACACTAGCAGCCTAAAGCACCCAGAAGTCCACAAACCCTCATAAATTGCTCAGTTCTTGTTCATGCCACAGCTCAGTACGATAAGGATTCCTGGTGTCCAGAACACAACACCAAGACGGTTTAGGGTTTTAGGGCTTATGATATGGTTCATAAAAACCGTCTATATTCTATATGAACCCCTGCCTCAAGCTCAACACTCCGAACCTCCTACTCACCGATCGAGAACCCTGAAGCCCTAACCACCCACGAAAGTGGACCTCATACCCTCAGACCCCCCACCAAAATCACAAAAAGCTTTTTCAAACCCCTTAGAAATCCCTTACAACTCCAAACAGAGTAACAACCCTCGCGAAAGCCCTAGAGACCCAACAGACGCCCAAAACCCTTTTTTCAGGTCGCTGGGAGGCTGAAGGCTTAGAACGCTCCGGGTCTGACTCCCAGCATGCCAGGTAGGTAGGTGCGGAGGCAAGGTTGGTAGGGGCTTAGGGTTTGGGAGGTAGGCAGGCAGGTGGGTAACGGGTAGGTAGGGGCTTCGGGTTTAGGGCTTAGGCAAGTGGGTAGACTTGGGAAGAACAGTGTCACCATGGTACTGTACCGGGTTTGGGGCTTAGGGTTTAGCATATTGAAGCGATTGTGAATTATGATTTAGAGGGACCCCC